GCGATCAGAATCGGCTTGAGGTCTGTGGATGGATTTGAATATGAATATGGTCTCTATATCAGGCTGGATGTGTTCATTTCAGCATAACCGCTCCCTATGGAGGAGTATTCAGACGTTTGATGACGTTTCGTTATCGGTTATTTCATGTAATACTATATTGTGCTGTGTGAGTTGCGAAACGGCTTGATAATTTTCTTATGTGTTGAGGTTCCACATAGCGATGGTGTTATGTGAGCAGGATGGCTCTCGAGATTCAAATCATATATCGCACCTTAGTTGTGCTTGAGTTTTGTAGCGTATGGCGCTGTCGGTCCTTCCAAGGGTGGTATTGTGCACTTAGAGTACTTGTGTCTGATGTTCAGATATTTTGTAAGTAATGAGCATTTTAGCTCGGTAAGTATTTTTTTTATATAGATTCTTTTGTGCGGATCGGGTTGCACGCCGCAACAATGCGATGTTGAGTAAAGTTCCCTATATTCTATTTTGTGTGTTTTGTGTCCCATTTTCTGAGGAAGGTTCATGACACCTTTTCAGTTGTTTAATTAGTCACATGGGTTGAGTAATCCTTCCCATAGTCTGTTTTCCTTATGTATCGCAATCGAGTCCGTAGCTTATTAGCTCTTTGTGGCGTCATATGAGACTTTTTGTCATGTCTGAGGTAGCTTATTGCCTGAGCAACTTATACTAAGTGAGACGAGGTTATTAGATCCGGTATTAGTACGATCGGATTATATGAAGTATAATAAAGAGCAAATACCATTATTAGGTCCATAATGATGCAATGGTTCTTGTCAGAAAGAGAAACTCAATAATTTGTTGACTCAGCAGTTGGTTATGAATTTCTACACATTTCTTCCATCGTGGAAGCAGTTCAAGAGTTGGAATATGGATTATAGGTATCATGAGGTGTGTTGTGAACATCAGATTCGTGGAATTTTGGCTATCGTTATCGGAGGATGTTATTATAGTCATGTGAATGATGCAATGCATGGTCTAAATTCAACAAAGGTATGCAATCCTGTATTGGTGCATCGTGTAGTGATTGATACGACATTCATAGGTTGGAAACAGGCATGGTGGAGAATTCTGGATGTTAGAATTGGACTCTAAGGATTATTTGCCTAAATAAAGGGGAGGATTTTTAGATTGGCTCGAGTTAATGTGCTCAACTGGGTGTGGTAGCACGGGTAGGTGCACGAGGTGTTAAACAGTAATTTTGGATAACTCCAAAGCACTCCTTAACACGTTCGAGGACGAACGTATATTTAAGTGGGAGAGAATACAACGACCCAACCAGTCGTTTCAACTTTTAGAAACCTGTTCCCTTAAATAAAACTCCCTGAATGTCTTTTTAATGATTTATGACTTACGGGGATGGTTGGTTCGGTATTTGGATGTGTTTGGGTTGAAATCGGAACACTTGGTTCCTTAAGTTAACCTTAAAAGGCCAAGTTTGACTTCGGTCAACATTTTGAGAAAACGACCTCGGAATCGAGATTTGATGGTTCCAATAAGTTCGTATGATGATTTCGGACTTGGGCATATGTTCGAATTGGGTTTTGGATAACCCGGGAGCGTTTTGATGCTTAATAGTAAAAATCAACTATTTGAAGGTTTAAAATTCTTTAAATTTGGTTTGGAGTAGGATTTTGAGTAATTGAAGTCCATTTGGAATTTCGAGTTTGGGAATAGTTCTGTATAGTTATTTAAGACTTGCACGCAAATTTTCGTGTCATTCCGAGTAGTTTAAGTATATTTCGGCGCATTGGAAGTAAATTGAAGAACTTGAAAATTTTAAGTTTGAATCAATTTGGTTTAGGGTATGATTCTTGGATTTGATGTTGTTTTACGCGTTCCGAGAGTTCGAGCGAGTTCGTTTTATGATTTCAAACCTGTTGGTATGTTCGGGCGGGGTCCCGAGGGTTAACCGGACGAGACTCGGACCAATTTTGGACTTGGGAGAAAAATGCTGAAGCTTTCAGCTTCTGGTACGTTCACACCTGCGCTTGGACAGCCACAGGCACTACTCTCGCAGATGCGAGGTTCATGCGCAGAAGCGGAAAAAGGGAAGGGGAGGCCACTGCCGCAGGTGTGGAATTATGGCGCACCTGCGCGCACCTGCGAACGCGCAGGTGCGAGGCAGTGCGCGCAGATGCGAATAGGGACAGGCGATCGAAACTCGCACCTGCAAGGATTTTCCACAGGTGCGAAAGTCGTAGGTGCGGTACCCCTTCCGCAGGTGCGAAACCACTGCTTGGCAGAATGGTTAAAAATCGGGGCTCAGACATTTTGAGCCCATTTTCCCTCCATTTTCGGGCGATTTTAGAGCTTTTAAGATGGGAGTTCAACTACCAACTTGGAGGTAAGTTAATTCTATACCCCTTGAGTTAAATACATAGATTATAGGTAGATTATAACTAGTAAATCTTAGAAATCAAAGGCTTAGATGAAAAACCTAGATTTTTATAAAAATGAGATTTTAATCACGAAAATAGTTATGGAATTGGGTAGAAATTATATATTTAAGTTCTTGATATTATGGGTAACGTTTTCATCCGAAAATTTCCAGAATCCGAGCACATGCGCCCGAGGTGAATTTTAGGAATTTTATCATTTTGTATAATGTAATTTATTTAATAGATAAATTTTGAATCATTTAGCATATATTAATTATTTTGTATAATATTTGGATAGTTTCGGATTTTTCGACGTCGAATCGAGAATTCAACGCGACGTGGTAATTGGAAAGTGGACTTTGAGACGAGGTAAGTCTCTTGTCTAATCTTATGAGGGGAAAATTACCCCATAGGGATTTAATTGAATAATTGTTGCTAATTGCGCGGGCTACGTACGCACGAGGTGACGAGAGTCCGTGCGTAGCTACTATTAATGCTAAAGTCCGGATAGTTTAGGACTCAAAGCATGAGCTACTTGTGTAAATTATATTCTTTGTTTAATTAATATTAATTGATATGTATGAATATATTGTGAATTGTTAGATAAAGATATTAAAGGATGGAAATCTCATATGTTTGATTTTCTATTTAAATTAATTAATTGTTAAAAGAAATTATTCTTTCTCCCGAATTTATCTTATAATAAATATACTCTCCTTCCGGAGGTACATAAGAAAATGTCCTCCTTTCTTGTGGAGCGGGCCGAACGCCTCGGCAGGATAGATGCATCTATGGATCGTGCCGCACGTCCCTCGGCAGTGTACACGACACTCTGGATCGGGTCGTACGTCCTCGGTAGAAATCGTGCTTAATAATAATAATTATACGATACTTTAATAATTTATTTCAGCTTGCGATGCTAATTGATAAATTGAAAAATCCTTGAAATTTAATAAATTATTATTCTTGCTTGTTAAGGAATTAATTGTTATTCCTGTAAATGATATTTAATTGATAAATTGAAAATTTATTGAAATTGAATTGCAGCTTGTAAAGCTATTTGATAAATTGGAAATTTTATTGAAACTGCATGATTTAAATAAATAAATTGGAAAAATTATTGCATTTGAAAGATTTTTATTACTTCTGCTAATTGAATAAAATTATTGATAACTCTGTGAACTATGCTGATTTGAATAATTATAATTTATTTTAATTATTATTTTTGACCCATAGTGAGTGTCAAAGTCGGCTATCTCGTCTCTACCACTTCGAGATTAGGCTTGATACTTATTGGGTACACGTTGTTTTCGTACTCATACTGCACATTTTATTGTGCAGGTACATATATGTATATCGACCTTCTGGGCGTAGAGGTGTGGTTAATAATTGTGGGGACATAGGTGAGCTGCATTCTATATTACGATCCGCAGCTAACAGAGTCTCCTTCAGAGTTATTATATTTTCCTGTCTAATTTGTATTCTGGACAGATGCTGTATTTTATTGTTAATTCCCTAGTAAATGCTCATGCACTTGTGACACCGGGTTTTGGGAATGGTTGTGAATTGTTTAGAAATTTAATTGCTAAAATATTTATCATTTGCTCTATGAGTTTTATCTCTACAATTTCATTGAAGAATTATTTTTATTTCAAAAATACTAAAATGGGTAATTAAGTTAATTGATTAAGGTTGGCTTGCCTGACAGTGGTGTCCGGCGCCATCACGGCCTTTAATTGAATTTTGGGTCGTGACAAAAGTCATGGGTGCTCACCGATCAAAATTCTAAAAGAAGAGAAAAAAGGAGTTTAGTTATAGGTGCTCCCTCAATATTTATCTAAATATTTTTATAATTGCCTATGCAAATTTATCAAATATTGTCAAAGGTAATGGGTGCTTGAGCACCCACAAAGAACCATGTAGATTCGCCACTGCTCCTAGCTATAAATCTGTTTCTACTATTCAAACTAATGTTAGATCCAAGTTATGTGAACTTGTTTGAAATCTGAGGCTTAAAGTTTTGAGGAATCCAAGACACGTAAACAGATTAAGCATCAGATACATTATGGAGATAGTAATGAATATAGTTGTTCATTCCAATTGAAATGTAGAACGTGGAACTTAACATCAGATTAGCCGTTGCGTCCTCAACAATAGTCATTATAAATTGCTGAATAGTGTCAGTGACCTGCTCAATTTGCTTGTGCAAAGGAGCTATGCTGACCCTGCATAAGTATTAATCTAGCTTAAATGCACTTTATCAAAAATAATAATAATAATAATAATAATAATAATAATAATAATAATAATAATAATAATAATCCAGCATAAATATACTTCATCAAACATAACACTCCCTACATTCCAATTTATGTGAACTTGTTTGAATGTTTACGGAGTTTATGAAAAAAATAGTGATTTTTGAAATTTGTGGTCCTAAACAAGTCATAGTATTTCTGTGGCTATAAAAGCTTCTAATTGATGGTAGAGCTGAAAGTTTAAGTTAAATTATTTCTAAATTTAGAAATAGGTCATTCTTTTTGGAACGGACATAAATGCTTAGCCTGTTGCAGCAGCTTTAGGTTCCATTTGTCATTAGCACAAATAGAAGTTAAATTTGCAATTTTGCTCATTTTTCCAGTTAAGAATATCAATTAGATCACCTAAGCATTAACACATTCAACATACTACCTGATAAACTGAAGATATTGCTTCAAAACATCTTGGAAATTATTATTTCAGTTCCAGTGCTGCTATATGATTAAAGCAGAAAATATTATGAAAACGTACCAATTCAGAGCTGCTTGAGAAACAGCAGAAGAATAATTGACACCATGAATCATGTCTTCCATGGAACCAGCCTACCCTAGAGCAAAATTTTGAAAGACAAAACTGCTAAGCTATAAGTAAAAGTTGTTGAAGTAGAAAATGCTTGCTCACGATGAATCCTGTCTTCCATACACCATGAATCATGTCTGCTCACGACTCTAATAGAAAGAAAGGGTAAGCTCGCTGCTCTACTTGCTTGCAATGCTATGCCTATCAAAGTTGGCGAAGGCTTCTGTAATCTTAGACTCGTTACGCTCTTCGACTGAACTCGTTGGCTCTGCGTCCACCGAAAGTTGGTGACCTTCATCACCGACAGCTATTGGTACTCTCTCGATAGTTGCTTGAGAAAATAAATTCTAGCACCAGCAGAAGCATAATTGACACCTTGAATCATGTTTCCACGCAGGGGCGGCTCAAGAAGATTGGTGGCCTAAAGCCAATTTTTAATATGGGGCCTTTCAGAAGGAAAAAAAATTCATCTATATTTTTAATTGAAGTCTATTTTTCTAGCTTTTTAAGATGTAAAATTGTTAATAGTTTCTTTTATAAATAATTTAATCTCTCCTAAGATATTGTTGATCTTAGTTAATAGAACCAGATTCAAGAAGTTTATAACTTAATATCGAAATAATTTTTGATGTACTAATATACTTGTTGAAACGCTTGAAACCTGAGGGGGAAAAAAGGGATAAAAAGAATGCGCAATATAGTTTTATTCAACGGTACTCTTCAACTCTTGTTTTTAATAGAAAAAATAAAACTCTTTTCTTTCTACAAAGAACAATATAACTTATCGAGAACTTAAACTTTTTTGCTTAAACCAAAAAAGAGAATACAAGAATGTAGTACACATTTTTTGATGAGAAAGATAAAAAATAAGACCTGGACTATTGAAGATTCCAAAAAACGGATTTTAAAAGTTTATTACACGTTTTTAATGAGAAATGTAAAAGGAGAATAATAATATAGGTACCTCACTAATGATTTCAATCGTAAAATTTAAATAATGAAAAGTTTATATATTTGCGACAAGGGTTTAGGGGGAGTGATTCTCTTTCTCCAATTTTTGCTCAAACGGTTACATCAATACGAAATTAAAAGTTATCTTTACTTTTTATAAAATATTTTATTTTTTTCTTTTAACGTACCTAATATATGTAGACCCTTCCTCTAAAGATTGCTGTGAGATGTATATGATCCAACTTACCTTAATTAGATATATCGGTTTCGAGTCCTGTGGTTAAAAAATATCCTGATAAAATATGTTCTCTCTTTTGTTAGGCCTTACGCGGTACGAATCTAGATTAGTCGGAATCTCAATACAATTACGAGTAGAAAACAAAAAGAAAAATTCGGGGCCCTCAAAATTTGGGGGCCTAAGCCTTTGCTTTAGTGGCTTGACCCTTTGGGTTGCCCCTGCTTCCATGGAACCAGCCTACCCTAGATAACTCGGAACAAATGGTAAAATGTTAAGTTTCACAAACTGAATGACGAAACAGTGACTCAATCTATGTTGTTCGGACTCTCCAAAAATGTTGCCGCACCTGTGTCAGATCCTCCAAAATGCACTAAATTTGAAGGATCCGACACGCACCCAACAACATTTTTCAAGAATCCGAGTAACATAGGACTCAATGCAATTGACACGACTGTGAGCTCAAGAGAAGAGAGAGAACTTTGTATTACTGCGTAGGCAACAAGCCAGTGTACGAAGAAATGAAATGAGATAAGCTAAAATATCTATGCCAACTGTATATTTATATCAACACAACCACCTACTTAACTCCACTAACTAAATCTATTAACTGCAACTAACTTCTAAGCTTAACTTAGTCACACAGTGCCATGTGTGATACCATCAAGGCACCTCTATTATGCATCCAACTAACTCATTTACATAATCCAAGACGCAGAGCTAACATAATACAAATCCAGAAAATGAAAAATTAGCAATAAACCGGAAGAACTCGAACCCCACTAGCCACAATCTTTACACTAAAATTCCCCAAAATATAGCAAGAATGAATCACTGAATTTCTGAAAAATTTACAAACCAAGATTTCCACAAAATCAGTATTTAAGTTTTAAGAGGATAAAATTCTAGAAACAGCAAAAGACCATAAATCATTTCATTGAATGTCGAATAGTTTTCTCACTAACAATTATTCAATCAACCAATCAATCAATCAATCACGCCTTAATCTCAAATAAAATATCATTGAATTCTCCAAGTTCACTGGACCACTTCTCTGCAACTATTTCATTGAATATTTTTAGCTAACCTTCTTCTCACTAATCCAAATGAAAATTTTCAAGAAATTTTTAAAAGAAAATTACCAAGATCATCGACAGTAATTCTCCATTGCAGAAACGTCCTGTAGGTTGATGAGTATCAAAATCACGCCCGTAAGAAAGTCTATCACCACAAGCAAAAGTACCAAGAAAGTTATTAGTACCACAATCAACTGAAGAATCACCAATAAGGAACAAAGAAAGAACAAGAGGATAATCGATATTAAAGTCATTAGAAGTTTGGTATGCTTAGAGTAACTTCTGAAGTTACCAAGGAATGAGGCCTATTAACTAATTGGTGCAAAATTTATATAAAGAAGAAGTTAATCTGGATTTCTTTTCCATTTTGATTAGTCTTAATAGATAAGTAATTATCATAGTTTTCCTTTCTGGTAAAGCTGGTCAAGGCCATCTAACTCTGCTGATGTGGTCCCTTAGGTCTTTGAAGAATCTAAAGACTAATGAACTAAACTGGTGACATTTCATTGATGTCCAAAAGTTCTTTCCACATATGACTACGTCTTCGGCAAGTATGGTGCAGCCAAAATAACAGGACTCTTTGATTGTTTTTAAATAAAAAATGTAAAGAGCAAAATGAGTGAATTATTATGCTATAGAATAGTCATGTTCTCTAGTATTGCGGGACAGCTAGCTACAAAGATTCTTCCACTATTTTCGATCAACTTTGGAATTGCCCTCAAATTTCTTCACAGCCAAGAGATAAATTAGAGCAAAATATGAATGTTAACTAACTTAAACAGTAGATTGACCATATTCTTATCTAGAGCACTGAATGGAAAGGGTACCTTGTCGATCTAGCTTCTCCTATATCGTCAGAAAGCACCAAGTCTGATTTGTATAGTAGTGTCATAGTCATCTCCTTCACCTGTCAAAATGTTAAGCTACATGTCCCTAAATCCAGCTCTGTTGCATCCCAAAATGAAGCATATTGCTAAGGCCATCCATAACAAGTATGAAAAGGAAAGGGGACAGAGGGTCGCCTTACCTTAGTTCCCTGTGCGTCTGGAAAAACCTTTTGCGACCCATTTATCAATTCTGGCATCCTGTCTGTAGAGATACAAAAATGAATCCAGCTGACCCATTTCTGACCAAAGCCCATGTTACTTAACAGGTTCAAGAGGAATTTCCCATGGACATGATAAAAAGCCTTCTCTATATAATCCTTGTGTATATGCATTCATTTGCAATAAGAGCTGCATCAGTTATCTGTCTTCCCTTTATGAATACTAACTACCAACCAACTTCTCAATGACTTTCTTCAGTATTTCTCATAATAGCTTGGACACAATCTTATAAAAGCTACCAATCAAACTGATGGGCCTATAGTCCCTGACTTCTTTGGCACGCGATTTCTTGGGAAACAAAGCAATGTAAGTGGCATTAAAACATCTTCCAAACTGAGCGGCTAAATGAAAATGGTGTAAAGCCTTCAACAAGTCTGTTTTTATCACATTCCAGCACTTTTTGTAGAATCCCATAAGTGAAACCATCCAGCCCGATGCTTTATCACTTGCTTTACTGCTGTCTAACTCCTTTAACTTCATCGTCCTCAAATTCCCTATACTACCACTCATTTTCCTCCCCTGTGATAGCAGGCAAATTCCCAGGAAACCAGCTGGGCCTTTGTTGTTCTGACTATGAGTACAATTTTTTTTTTTAAAAAAACGGAGTTCATTGCAAACAATCTGCTCGTCATGAACAACCTCCCCATTCACCAGAAGCCTGTCAATATGATTGTAATACTTGTGCGGGTTGGCTATTTTGTGTAAGAAAAAGGTGCTTTTGTCCCAATGTTTTAGCCAAGTACATTTAGATATTTGCCTCCACGAAATTTCTTCTACTTTGGCAAAATATCCTCCAAATCGACAAGTAGGTCAGCTTTTGCAGTAGTTCCCTCTCCGTCAAATTCCTGGTGTCTGCAATACCATCCAAATGTTTACCGGTAAGGTAACTCCGCCCAGTATTTTTTGGATCAAATCCGGTGATAATTCTCTACTCGTGTCCTTACAGAGCTGGGTAAGTGATCTTCAAGGGCATTTCCTCGATCCATATGTCCCTAACACAAAGCTTCTTCTGTTACCGAGTATTCAGAAGCTATTTGTGTTCCTCAATTTGTTCTTGAGACGCTTCATTTTGACAGAAAAAAGCATAGTTCGTACGGCCCTGGCTAATGAAATTACTCCACTAACCAGCCACTAAATCAACAAAACCGTCAAATTCCAGCCACATGTTCTCGAATTTAAAGTACGAATTTGTTTGTTGCCACTTTCCACATTGCAGAAACGAAGGAGCATGGTCTGAAATAGGCCTTGGAAGCATAGTTGTCCAACAAAACTAAATTTTCATCCCATTATACGGGAAAAAAAAGAACCTGCCAATTCTGGAAGCTGCTGATACTGTATCACCTTTGAACCAAGTAAAAGAACCAACATGGAGTCGGGGGTCAATTAGTTCTAGCTCCTCAATAAAGCAGGATGAATCTGACATGCTGCCAGTGAGCCTCTGAGAGTGTTCTTTAATTCGTGTAGTGAGTAACATTGAGGTCTCCACAGACAAGAAAAGAAGTTACAACTTGGGCAGCAGATCTGATTTTTGTGAAGGGAAATGCAGAATCAGTCGGTCACATTCTTTTGCATTGTAGATACATATGGCGGGTTTGGTGCATATTCCTAAACCACTATGCATATAATGAAGATTAGCTTGAAAGAACCCATAGATTTTTTGAAAATGGTAACAGTATATTCATCAGCAGCATTAAGGAAACTGAGCAAAGTCTTGTTCATCTTACAAGAACTACTTGCAAAAGAATAAAGAATAAAGAATAACTTATTACATGAAAGCGGCAGCCTGCCAAGACAACATTCCTGATCTCCCAACAAGTCGCAGCATCTCCATAGCACTCATACAAGACAGCCATGCAGGGGTAATATGAAGCACTGTATGTAGTAAACAATTTCGTCTTGCAATTCCCCGTCAATGGATCGTACAGAGCTAACGTAACCTGGTAAATAGGTAGAGTACATATACAACAATTTCACAGCAGTTTGAGAAGCTACAAAAGCATGTTGCTAAACATTTGTATAGTCATGTAAATATTGAACTTTCAGCTATAATGACCAAGACAAAAATAAAAAAATAAGCAGCAGATATACGCATAGAGATATTTTCTTCTTTCTATAACGACATTTAATAGCATTCTTAGCTTAAACGATATAGCTGTTTACCTTTGTTGCACTTTGAAAAGGAAAATTTGTCTTCAGCCCAGGAGCAGATTCAACAACCGTAACAGTTGTCAAAAGCTAGCGTTGGAGACAAAATCAAGTCAGATTTGTGATAACACATATCCCAAGAAGAAAAAGGGAAATAAAGTATGCCAACTAATACACTCAAGAGTCAATGAAAGGATGAAAAAAGTACATTAGCAAGGATGGCATTCTTGTTTGTAGAGAAGCTATGGGTCACCTCCGTGCCAACAGCAGTACTGGACAGGGGACTCACTATGTGGTAATACGATGCACTGAGAGCATCTCCCTTTTCATTCCTGATACATTCAAATTAAAAAGCAAGCAAATCAAACACTGAATCAAGTGTTTCCGACTCTCCGAAATCAGTCTACAACTAAAGGGTACACACAATTTCAGAATACAGACATCTGCAACAAATTTTAATTGCATAAGCAGCACAAAAACTAGGTTGACAGATTAAATTTGGGTCACACACCGGACAGAGGGTCGCCTTACCTTAGTCCCCTATGCGTCTGGAAAAACCTTTTGCAACCCATTTATCAATTCTGACATCCTATCTGCAGAGATACAAAAATGAATCCAGCTGACCCATTTCTGACCAAAGCCCATGTTACTTGACAGGTTCAAGAGGAATTTCCAATGGACATGATAAAAAGCCTTCTCTATATCTAGCTTATAAAGAATCCCTGAAGTCTTTTCTCTGATCCTTGTGTCTATGCATTCATTTGCGATAAGAGCTGCATCAGTTATCTGTCTTCCCTTTATGAATACTAACTACCGACCAACTTCTCAATGACTTTCTTCAGTCTTTCCGATAATAGCTTCGACACAATCTAATAAAAGCTACCAATCAAACTGATGGGCCTATCTTTGGCACGTGATTTCTTGGGAAACAAAGCAATGTAAGTGGCATTAAAACTTCTTCCAAACTGAGCGGCTGAATGAAAATGGTGTAAAGCCTTCAACAAGTCTGTTTTTATCACATTCCAGCACTTGTTTTGTAGAATTCCAAAGTGAAACCGTTCAGTCCGATGCTTTATAACTTGCTTTACTGCTGTCAAACTCCTTTAACTTCATCTTCCTCAAATTCCCTATACCACCATTCATTCTCCTCCCCTGTGTTAGCAGGCAGATTCCCAGGAAAGCAGCTTGTCCTTTGTTGTTCGGACTATGAGTACAAATTAGGGGGAAAAAAAACAGAGTTCATTGCAAATAATCTGCTCATCATGAACAACTTCCCCATTCACCAGAAGCCTATCAATATGATTGTAATACTTGTGCGTGTTGGCTATTTTGTGTAAGAAAAAGGTGTTTTTGTCCCAATGTTTAAGCCAAGTACATCTAGATATTTGCCTCCACGAAATTTCTTCTACTTTGGCAAAATATCCTCCAAATCCACAAGTAGGTCAGCTTTTGCAGTAGTTCCCTCTCCGTCAAATTCCCGGTGTCTGCAATACCATCCAAATGTTAACCGGTAAGGTAATTCCCCCTGTATTTTTTGGATCAAATCCGGTGATAATTCTCCACTCGTGTCCTTACAGAGCTGGGTAAGTGATCTTCAAGGGCATTTCCTCGATCCATATGTCCCTTAACACAAAGCTTTTTCTGTGACTGAGTATTCAGAAGCTATTTGTGTTCCACGCCCTCAATTTGTTCTTGGGACGCTTCATTTTTACAGAAAAAAGCATAGTTCGGACGGCCCTGGATAATGAAATTACTCCTCCACTAACCAGCCACTAAATCAACAAAACCGTCAAATTCCAGCCACATGTTCTCGAATTTAAAGTACGAATTTGTTTGTTGCCACTTTCCACATTGCAGAAACGAAGGAGCATGGTCTGAAATAGGCATTGGAAGCATAGTTGTCCAACAAAACTAAATTTTCATCCCATTATACGGGGAAAAAAGAACCTGCCGATTCTGGAAGCTGCTGATACTGTATCACCTTTGATCTTTGAACCAAGTAAAAGAACCAACATGGAGTGGGGGGTCAATTAGTTCTAGCTCCTCAATAAAGCAGGATAAATCTGACATGCTGCCAGTGAGCCTCTGAGAGTGTTCTTTAATTCGTGTAGTAACATTGAGATCTCCACAGACAAGAAAAGAAGTTACAACTTGTGCAGCAGATCTGATTTTTGTGAAGGGAAATGCAGAATCAGTCGGTCACATTCTTTTGCATTGTAGATACATATGGTGGGGTTGGTGCATATTCCTAAACCACTAGGCATATAATGAAGATTAGCTTGAAAGAACCCATAGATTTTTTGAAAATGGTAACAGTATATTCATCAGCATTAAGGAAACTGAGCAAAGTCTTGTTCATCTTACAAGAACTACTTGCAATTCTTCACAAGGATCCTAGAAAATCAAGTAAAGATTCAGCATCCTCTACATAATTTTCTTTACACCAAAAGTACAAGGACAAAATACAGTTAGACTTAGTTCAGTGTGTAGGACTACTGATATCTTCAAAGCACCTTGCATTCCGCACAGTCCACCATATACAAGTTTGTAATAGATTTCCAGCACTTGTTTTGCCTTACATTACCTTGTACATTATTCTAGCATTTCACCATATCCAAAGTAGATTCTAGCGTAACCAATTTTAGACCAACCACCCTCAAGAAAACCTGCCACAATTGGCCATGTAAAAAACATATAGTAGTTGTTGTTCTCAGCACACTCCTTGCATAGGAAACATCTTGAGCCTGACTGAATTCCCCATCAAGATAATTCCATACCTAGATAGTTCCTCCTTGGTGCTATTAATTAATAAGATTACTTATCCAAAGTTTCAGCTGGTTGTACTTTAATCTTAAGTGAAGATCAAAGCAACCAAGTCGATCAAAAAAAAAAAAAAATAATGCAACAAAAGGCTAAACTGAATAAACCAAACAACAGATACTGTCCCAATTCATGTGACGAGTTCGGAGTACGAGAGTAAAAAAATCTTAATTTTTAATATGAATTCAGGTATAGATTCTTCGTATCTCTTAAAATAAAATTTATGTATTTGAAACTACGTACATGAAAAGTATAAGTCAACATAAGTACATAACTAATGATTCAAAGTATATTTTAAAAAAAATTGTTTGAATCCCTAAATAATGACCACAATCACATAATCAAAATGATGGTGTAACCCAAGTAGGCGGTGAAATAGGACTTAGTGACAATCCGGGATAAAAAGATTCAATTTTTTCATCTTCAATATTGTAAGCCCCCATATCTCTTCCACCACCATCTTCCACGTGTTTTAATTCCTCTTCCCAATCATCCGTAAAGTATATGTGATTAGGCTTGACTCCTATAAATTTAGAAGAGTCAACAGAACTTGCTCCATTAAGGCCCAAAACAATTGCTGAATCTCCCAAGGTGTTAATCTCTTTCAATTCGAGTTTGATTAAATCTAACTCGAATACTTTAAATTTAAAGGTCTGACACCCTCCATGAGAAAATCGGGTAACAAGTAATAGTGTACCGGATAACTCGACTAGGTAGAACTTAACTGAACTTTGACTAAAGATTTTATCTTTCAGCCAAATAAGCAAGCGTGGTTTTACAATTGGTTTGGTAATGCTAGGCCCTGCAACATCAAAAACCCAGACTTGGCCAGACCATGTGACAGAATAAAATTGACCCTTGTAATAATTCATACTTGTGACTGCACCATGGGTGTTAATGTCAATATTAGTCCAGTTGAGATCTCCAGGTCGCCAAAAAGCCAAACTATTAACACGTCCATAATAATTAACCACCAGTACATAATCTGATGTAAGAGAAGGACTGGCCGATAAGATAGCTTTGTCCATGCAGTTCCAGATCTCTTCTTCAGGTGCTTCTCCGAGACCCTCTGAAGCTAATAAGTCTTCTCGTGGGGGAAGCTGTATATTGATATGAGAGAAAGGGTGCAACAAGTTCATCTCTCCGGTATATGACATGGTGAACAGCCATCCCTCTGATGGAAAACACTCTCGCCCTCTAATTTCTGGGAGAAATATGCGTGAAACTTTCTTCTTCGAAAGAGAATAAAATTCTCGATAATCCTCATCTTTATCCGCCAACATAAGTAATGGAACTTGGGGCGAAAGCACATCGAAGAATTTCTTTGTAGCAGCAATTCTCCATGAGGTACAGACAGCACCAAAAGCAATGAAATCTTCGATCGCTTTAACACGCTTTGTAATCTGAGTAAGGAGATCCTGCGGCAACTCTGCCCAATTCGCCATAGCTTTGAAAGTAAGAAGGTGTAAGGTTTCTAGGTCAAGAGAAAAAGAACCTCCGTTTATGGTTTTGGTTTGGTCTTTTGAGATCATTTATGTAGGCAAGTATACTTACCAACTTTAACTAGGATTTGGAATACCAAAGACAAGGCCAATCTTTTCTACTTATTTTCGGAGTTTTTCCTTATATGTACTGTTATAGCAACTTATTTACTCATTTTCTATAAGTTTTATAGTTTTCAAAAGTATTTAAGTTTTTTTTTATAAATTATATATATTTTCCTTTAAAAAAATTCACACTATTATTAATGTCTTTAATTAAAGAATTCAATTCCGTTTTTTCTCTCCTCTGCTAAGCATATTTGTGATATTTGATTGCTTTCGAGGATTGTGGCAGCCCGTATTTGCCAAACTTTCGTCGTTCTCCTTTTTTTTGACCTCATCTCTTCGAGTATGCTCAATAGCTTTCAATCTAATAGATTTACGAATAAAAAATCTAATAAGTCTTTATATGCTTAACATATATTCCACAAACGAATGAACATAAGATTTAGCAATTGTATCATGTAATCAAATTCAGATATAATTTTGAGGCAATTTTAATATAATTCTTATAAAAAATTTATACAATTCTAATACAATATTGTATTATACTTGTATTAATATTATATCATATTGTTTTACATTTGATGTATTATATATAATTTATGTACAATTATCATACATTTATGAAACAATTTGAAAATAATTTTGATAAATTATGATACAATTGTGATACAATTCTTAACTTCTCCCTCTTCAAGTTTCAATATGAAATTTCACCTAAACCCAGCAGTAAACACCCTAAAAACCAGGACAAAACCACCAATAATTATAGCTTTTATTTTCAGATTGAAAGTTGAAGAGGAAAAATATACCACATACAAAAAAAATACAAATCAATAAAAAAACTGGTACAATTCTGATACAAATATTGTATTAAGCTTGTATCAGTACTGTATCAGGTATCGTTTCATGTATTGATACAATTCAGATATAATTATAATATAATTCTGATACAATCCTAAAATAATTCTGATATAATTATCATACAATTATGAAATTCTTATTCTTTGAGTTTCAATCTAAATTTTACCTAAAACCAATTATAAACTCAATCAGCCTCCCTTAAAATTGAGATATAAATTTCAAAGTATATTCTCAATCGTTTGCGAAAACACCCAACCCAAGCAAATTATAAATTCATAAAACCTGAATATTGATACAATTGTGATACAATTACCATATAATCGTGATACTATTTTGAAACTTCTTCTTCTTCTAGTTTCAATCCGGAATTTAATCTAAAACCAACTTTAAAGTTTAAACTTAACCAATGTCCCTCAAAATTGAGATATAAACTCCAAGGTATATTCTCAATCATTTGCTAGAACACTCAATTCAAATAAATCACAAATTTGTAAAACCTGAATATTAAATTCAAAAATTCAAAACTTTTTAATGTATGTCAATGGAGAACCATTTGTTGCTACAACTTTAGCAATAATATTGATGAATGTGTGTGAAGAGGGAGAGATTTGGGTTGATTTGTATGAAAGAGAAAAAAATATTTGAAATCTTTTTGAAAATAGGATGAAAATATAATTTTAGGGGCTTTGTATAATTGATATACATGAGAGTTTTAAGGGGAGGGGGAGGGGGTGACGTGGGAGTAGAGGCGGAGCTAGGATTTGAACCTTATGGATTCGGGATTATAATCCTTTTAAGTCACTGGGTTCTAAATTAATAATTTATATATATTCATTAGATTTTTTAATAAAAATACAAGGTTTGAACAAAAGCTACTGGGTTCGGCCGAACCCGTAACCAACCCTGTGGCTCCATCTCTGTGTGGGAGGGGAGCTATGTCAGTTACATTCTAATTTTAAGGGATGCGCGCTCTCCTTATTAAGGTTTTGTATATCTATATTATTAAATTTTAAAAACAGAAAACTTTTAATTTAAAAATTATATTACTTTAATACCCCTTTTATTTAGTACCTTGTTTAAGGACGCTTACAAAGAGAAAAAAAAAATAACGCTTGGAAAGAGACGCCAAACTTTGGGTCACTTCAATTCTCTTTTAGCCATCCCCATCTTGTGGGTTTCTTTTTTCCATATATTATTTTCTCTTTAATCTGGGCTTCGTATTTCAAATTCAATATTTTTTCCTTTGTTCTTGACGTAAGAATTTTGTTCAAATTTGTTGGTTTCTCTGTAGGAACTTAAATTTAATTCAATGTGAAAGCAAAATAATTGCAAAGACGAAATACAAGGAAGAAACAGATGGTGTTTCATATTCCTAAAATGCATCGTCTACCGGAGAAATTATTGTGTAATCATAGTTCAGGTAACCCAAGTTCAATTTTGTGTTTTAATCATATATTATAATTAAAAGTCTTTTGCAAGATTTTATTACGTCTATCATATATACCTTTGGTTATTTCTACACGTATTTTTCAGTCTTATTCGTCAAGTATCTGCTTCTAATTCTTTTGATGCATATTAATTTTCTCTTTAATCGTGTTTTTAATATCTGAGGTGCAAAAATTTTAAATGTCTAATGCTATGATCATACTTCAATTTTTTTTTACCTATTGCAAAGATTGAAAGAAATGTTTATTTTGATCAGGCTGCCATCAGTTTGGTTTGGTTATATTGGATCAGGCTAGCGACATAAATTTATGGATCAAAATTGGTTTGAGATAGAATCTGAAGATTGTGTACTCTAAGAATGTGCAAAAATCTCCTTTATATGGATATATATATAAAACTATCTTTTAATTTTCTTTTGCTTCTTTTGTAGATTTTCTTCATCCCACAAACTAAAGCTTTTTTGAAAAGTGGGAGCGGAGAGAAAAAGAAAACGAGAATTTACAAATAACTGTGCGCAAATAAAATTATCTCTTGAATAAACACACAAAGGTAATATGAAAGACAAATTAAGGAGTAAATTTTATGGGTGGTCATTTAGCTTTGTGTTTATTATCCCAAAGTCACTTTTCTTTTTTTGGTTACGTAAAAGTCATTCAACCTTGTGTTCATTACCCAAAAGTCATTTTTCTTTCTTATGTTACACAAAAATTATTTTATTATGCTCTAGTTATTACAATAATCACTTTGACCAGATTTTATAAAACTTTCACCTAAAAAATCTATTATGCCCTAGGCATTAAAAATCATCCCATTATGTGATGTCTTATATATTATATACTGTTATAAGAAAAATCAAATTATGGCGGATGTCTACTCTCCCTCTATGATCTTCTCAAATACTTAATGACATTTAATGACATATTTTTATGCTTAATGACATATTCAATGACATATTTTTCTTCACTTTTCATGCCTATATAAATGACTTGTAATAGATAAGAAAATACACACAATTGAAGAAGAAAATCTCTTCCTTCTCTCTATCTCCATTTCTTGTTCATGTTTTACTAAATTGTTTTATTTCATAACAACATGTCTTGTTCATGTTTTACTAAGTTACTTTTATTTCATAACATGTTATCAGCACGATGCTCTAACCAATTGAGATTATGTGCTTTAATCGAATTTTATCTTCTTTCAACCAGAGTTAGTCAAATTTCTTTTCGGTCCAGTAAGCTTTACTTTTAAATTCTTATGTCAGCATACGTTTACTAATTCATGTCTAGCTTTGAGTTTACACTTATATGCAATATGACAACATGATAATCAAACCAAAAATCTTAATCTGCATATATGTGTGACACTTAACTTCAATTATTTTTTTATGCCTACATAGTTAGAAAAGGAAAAGAATTCCTAACACTTGTGTTCCATATATATCTGATTAGAGCACTGCTATTTTCTTATATCAAAAGTAGCTTTAATGTTTAGTAAAACTTATTTGTGGATTGAGTAGGATAAGTAGAAAATTATTTTTCACTATTTTAATGATTCATGCCATTAAAATATAATAATAATAATAATACTCGTAACTATTTTATTTAATAAGATAAAATATTAGTACAAGAAGTATGTACTACACCAAAATTTTTATTTGTGATAGTTCTTATCAAATTAACACGTTGAATCATTTCTATATAGAAAGCATATAGTAGTAGGTAGTAGACAGAGATTTGTCCCCTAATTTTTCTTTGATTCCCTAATTAACCTAAAAGTTCTGCTATATCTCTTTGTTTTTCTAGAGAGTATAATACTTAGTTTCCACAAAAATGTATGGTAACTAGTGGTACTATATTATTCTATTTGATATACCATTTTTCTTTAATGTTTTGGTCATATCACTTTCATCTTGAAGTAAGCTTATTGCAGCAAAGACCACATGTTAATTTTCAATATTATTTTATATTTTCATATATCTGTTTGACACTAATTACTTAGCTGATTTGAGTAAACGAAAAATCTATTGTTGAGAATTATATCCAAATGATATTATAAAGAGTTTAACTCAAAATGTAAGCATTTCTTTTGTATTTGAAATTATTTTTGTCCTTTGCTATTAATGATATCAACTTCAATGAGTTCAAGTCGCAATGAACCATGAGGGTAAGACATCAGGATCAAGTCTTGATGCTCTGTGATGATAAGAGTTAGGTTTGAGTCACAATTCATTATGGCCTAACATGCCTTTATAATGGTAAGATATTAGGTTTGAGTCACACTATACTATATTGATGATATAATAATGACTAAAGAAAAATAATATATTTTTCATGAAAAGACATGAATATTGCCCTACTTGATTTGCTCCATTCTTAAAGTGAATGTGGTAGTGGCGCATAACAAGTCTAAATGAAGACAAGTGGTTGAATAATGAACGTGGGCGTTCCAAAGATCAAAATAATAATAATTATCACTATGATTATAAAAGGAGAACAATAAGGGTTCTCAAAAATAGTCCTTCAAAATGTGAAGGCAATGCTTACCATCAAATTGATATGAAAAATAATAAAGCACGACGCTGATTATGATCCAAAGAGAATGTGACTTGTGATAAGCATTAAGAATGCAGACTCATTCCTAAAGGTGAATGTGGCAATATATGATAAAAGTAATGAATAAAGACATGCAATGCATGATTAGATGAATACCACACAAC